AATGGAGATATTATCAAGATTCTAGAACCCTAGAGAGAGCAAGGTGTCTCTTTTGGTAGCACAGCCGAGTAGAGTAATTTACAGATGATAAGTTTGCTGAGCGATTTGGAATATGAAGTTTAGAAGAATATGAAGTATCTGTTTCTTTTATATAGAAACAAATTGAGCAACTACCTACTACTTATATAGTTGGAACTTGATTTCAACCATATATGTATCCTTTCAAGTCATCACACCATTATTCACTCTGTACTATTTATTTAACAAAATTCTTAATGCATTTAAAAAAAATCGAATTTAATTAAATTAAAATATAATTTCCAATCTGTAGTGTTCATCAACACTAAAGTATCAGAAAAAAACAAAATAATAATTTATGTTTATTACTTATGAATAGCAGTTAGGTACAGATATCAATTTCATTGCCTCCAGCTTTCATGGAATGTTGCAAATTTGACTGCTGTATATAGTTTATCAAAACTCAATAATTTCTTATTAAAAACAATTGAGTAAATATCATTTCCTATTTAACCACAACAGAGTTCAAGCAAAAACACTCAAATTGCACCCTGTATGTTTACAGGATAAAATTTTCTTTTTAATTAAAAATACCAAGAATTAAATATGACTAAGTACTTGCTAAACAAAGAGGATCAGAATATCATCAATATTTCTAATATTTCTATATTTTGTTTTAAAGACAACTGCGATAGTTTAATAAAATGTTCGAAGCATATTGATAAAAACTAAAGTTCTTTGGTAAAAAAAATAACTTTGGTAAAAAAAACCTGTTACAAACAAATTACTGCATACAACTAACACTATATTTCGTACAAGGAATTATGAAAAACCATACCAGTCTTTCATGAAGTTGGCTATTATTAGTAAATTGATATTTAATATTTAAGACTATAAAAAAAACATCTCCAGTTTTAACAAAAGTTTCAGTTTTAATTAATTTTAAATTTTACAGGAAGGTATAAAAAATTAGAACTAAATGTTCTTATACTTTTAGTAACACGTATCTTTTAGCAACACGTGTAAAAGCACAGGGTTACAATGCTGCAACCCATATTAATTAATTAATGTTTGGCTTCGATAATGATCATTGAGGATCGTTGGTTGCAGGGGATTATGGGCCCGATCCTCTTCAACTGGGTTCTGATTGGTGGTCTAATTGATCTAAACTTTTCAGTAGAAATAGTAAATAAAAAAAAATTATAATTAAAAATAAAAACGAAATATCTTTAGTATTAAAAATAATTGGAATATTATTCATTAATACTTATTCTTATTAAAATAGGGTCAAAATATGAATCGATTGAAAATATACTTGGTTGGTTACTGTATGAAAAGCAAGGTGAATTTAATTCTCATATTTGGAGAAGTGTGATTTAAAACTGCAAACAGAAGTAAAAGAAAAATAAATCAGTTTATGAAAGCTTTTGGCAGATAAATATTTCTAAATATAAAAAAAAAAATACAGTTCCATAGTAAATAAAATTTTCAGTCAAAAACTAAATGAAATCTATGCAATAATCAAAGATCAAATGAGTTTGTAATAAATAATTAATTCTGACAATTGGGGTATTACAAAATACAGTATCTGCCATAATGTGACGTCTAATTTTAAAAAAAATAGAAATCTAACGTCTAATATAAAATACTCTTTGACTTTATGGATTCACTTAAGGCGAACAATTATTAAGTAGATATAAAGTTTTGTATGTTTCAACATTCAATTCCTTAGAACCATAAAAAGGGACATCGATTTGCAGCGATGCTAGTAAGGTCAGGATGAACGAACGTTCTTTTAAAGTTACAATTTACTCTTAATACAACAATTTAAAAAAGTGGATTAGGTTTTCCCCACTTTACTTATTTTCATTCTTACTTACTACTAAAAAATAAAACAAAAATCAAAATTTAATTAGATCAGGATTAAATGTTTAGATGGTGTTAATATAAGCAAATACTTTAGCAGCCAGTATAAGGCGTGTATTGTCAGTTTTTTGAAATTTGGTTATTAATTATTTTACTAAGGATTAGATTCTGGTCTTTGTTAAGATGACCTTATGAGATTTATTTTTGAATATAAAACACAACGAAGGTATTACTGATTTAAACCTAAAAATAAGTAGAGCTCTAATGCGAGCATAAAACCTAAAAATAAGTAGAGCTCTAATGCGAGCATAAAACCTAAAAATAAGTAGAGCTCTAATGCGAGCATAAAACCTAAAAATAAGTAGAGCTCTAATGCGAGCATAAAATCTAAAAATAAGTAGAGCTCTAATGCGAGCATAAAACCTAAAAAGTAAGTAGAGCTCTAATGCGAGCATAAAACCTAAAAAATAAGTAGAGCTCTAATGCGAGCATAAAACCTAAAAGTAAGTAGAGCTCTAATGCGAGCATAAAACCTAAAAATCAGTAGAGCTCTAATGCGAGCATAAAACCCTAAAAATAAGTAGAGCTCTAATGCGAGCATAAAACCTAAAAGTAAGTAGAGCCTCTAATGCGAGCATAAAACCTAAAAAAGTAGAGCTCTAATGCGAGCATAAAACCTAAAAATAAGTAGAGCTCTAATGCGAGCATAAAACCTAAAAATAAGTAGAGCTCTAATGCGAGCATAAAACCTAAAAATAAGTAGAGCTCTAATGCGAGCATAAAACCTAAAAATAAGTAGAGCTCTAATGCGAGCATAAAACCTAAAAGTAAGTAGAGCTCTAATGCGAGCATAAAACCTAAAAATAAGTAGAGCTCTAATGCGAGCATAAAACCTAAAAGTAAGTAGAGATCTAATGCGAGCATAAAACTTAAAAATAAGTAGAGCTCTAATGCGAGCATAAAAACTTAAAAATAAATAAAGCTCTAAAGCGAGCATAAAAACTTAAAAATAAGTAAAGCTCTAATGCGAGCATAAAAACTTAAAAATAAGTAAAGCTCTAATGTGAGCATATAAACTTAAAAATAAATAAAGCTCTAATGCGAGCATAAAAACTTAAAAACAAATAAAGCTCTAATGCGAGCATAAAAACTTAAAAATAAATAAAGCTCTAATGCGAGCATAAAAACTTAAAAATAAGTAAAGCTCTAATGCGAGCATAAAAACTTAAAAATAAGTAAAGCTCTAATGCGAGCATAAAAACTTAAAAACAAATAAAGCTCTAATGCGAGCATAAAAACTTAAAAATAAATAAAGCTCTAATGCGAGCATAAAAACTTAAAAATAAGTAAAGCTCTAATGCGAGCATAAAAACTTAAAAATAAATAAAGCTCTAATGCGAGCATAAAAACTTAAAAATAAATAAAGCTCTAATGCGAGCATAAAAACTTAAAAATAAGTAAAGCTCTAATACGAGCATAAAAACTTAAAAATAAGTAAAGCTCTAATGCGAGCATAAAAACTTAAAAACAAATAAAGCTCTAATGCGAGCATAAGAACTTAAAAATAAATAAAGCTCTAATGCGAGCAAAAAAACTTAAATCCAAATAAAGCTCTAATGCGAGCATAAAAACTTAAAAATAAGTAAAGCTCTAATGCGAGCATAAAAACTTAAAAATAAGTAAAGCTCTAAGGCGAGCATAAAAACTTAAAAATAAGTAAAGCTCTAATGCGAGCATAGAAACTTAAAAATAAATATTTTTTTTTCTTTTTTTTTATTTATCTTTTCAGAAGCAATAAAGGAGGGCAGTCGAGGACGACCGGAAAGTAGGATGGCCGAGTGTTATGATTTTTATGAGTACCTTGTTTATATAGTGTATTGTTATGATTTACAAATTATGGTTTATGTATTATGTCAGATGTATTATTCATAATGCATGGTTTTTATGACAGGCGATAGAATGTTACGGGAGATAAGATTGGGAGTGAGGCGTCCGCAGCAGTCAGTCGGTACCGTGCGCTCGCACGATACACATGTTTGTGTCGTAATCCTAAGTACTAAAATGTAATAAAGAAGTTATGAGGGAAATCCAGTGTTTTATTTGGAAATACGAGATCTACTGTTACACTTATTTTGTTATTAATATTTTCCAAAAAAAAGGTCAATTTTTATTTGGATACTACTTGTAATTCCTAAATAAAAAATACATTATAGAACAAAAAATATAATTTTTTTAAACTGTACGCAACATTTCTGTACAATTTTTTCCTCCAACATAATTTGAGAATCTATGATATACCGCTTATAATTACAAATTTTAAGAAATATGTGAACATCATTAGCGGGATATATTTTTTGTTACTATCCAAAAAATACTATTATGGAGAGGATAATTTTGTCTCATTCAATAAAACCCTTATATTGTAAAAATTAAAAATATATATAAAAAATAAAGAAATAGAATATATTTTTATATTTCAACAAATAACAGAAGACAAAAAATCGTTACTAGCAATAAAATAAAAAAGTTACTGTTCTATAAACTGATTCATGTTTTTGAATAAAATTTAAGGATAATATTATTAGCTGGTTCTTTGGTAAACACCATTTCGTAAGTGTAAGTTAGAATGTAAACAGAGCGGATGTAAACATTAACATCTCTTTGATATTATTTGTTGTTTACTTAACAAGAGAAATATTTGTAGTATAAAATGTACAACAAATCCCTTTGTAAGAGCATATTTTCTGATTTTAAATTGGCGCAATACTTGATGTCAATTAGTTATTCGAAATGATTATTCTTCCTATTAAAGAAATATGGTATATTGTAGGCAAAGAAGTAAAGTTGTTTAAAGATATATTAATATTATCGATAATTTTTCTTATTTTGATATTGAATATCCTGTGTTCTGTGAATCTTATTTTACTTATCATATTAGAATTATTTATCTATTAATTCATCAAAATACTTTTAATTAAGAGAGAAATAATATCAATTAGCCAAACCTAATATTATAAGAGATGCTTATAGCTTTTTAAATATAATCTAAATTGGAACTTTTAAAGTATGTAATAAACGTAAATTTAATAATAAGATACAAAAAAAATTATACTTACGTGTTGAGCTCAAGATCTAGACGGAACTTGTGGTTGAAGGCTTTAATGAGAAGCGATGTGCGATGAAAATGTTTGCCAGTCTGAAAAAAAGGAAATTATATTATTATCGTATATTTAATTAAAAAAATACCAAAGTCAGAGATAAATCGTCGGTGAAATGTGATAAACTACTAACTCCATTATTTCTAATTTTAGAGAAGAGAAAAGAAATGGTACAGAAAATATGTACAGGGTAGTCGGAATTGATCTGTTTTAACAGAGAAAACCTATTTCCTGACTAGTTAGAGCAAAACCGATATAGATGTCATAGGTTCGATTTCTGAGACACGTTTAATAACATAAACCGCCTGTTGATATTTTCACTGCCAACTGAGATACGGGGTCTTTTTGAATTTTTTACTATTTTGAAAATTGCCCATAACTTTTGTACTTTGCGGAATAATAAAATTCTGTAAAGACGTTCTTAAGGCACTTTTTTAAGCACAATCCAGTGGCGTAGTCAGTTTTTTTCTATGCTTGCTCTTTTTGTCAGAAATAATAAAAAATATATTTTTTTAAATGGAAATCATAGTTGGCTATGAACATAAAAAAATGCTGGCATTTAACCATTTCGAACGATATAAAGTTATGGATACCTATTTCTAAGAATGAGAGAAATATTAGGTTTTTCATATTTGTATCGAAGTGTGCCTTGATTTTTTGTTGACAAAATGGTAAAAAATTCAAAAAGACCCTGTATCTCAGTTGGCAGTGAGAATATCAACAAGCGGTTTGTGATATTAAACGAGTCTCAGAAATCGAGCCCATAACATCTACGTCGGTTTTGCTCTATCTAGTCAGGAAATAGGTTTTCTCTGTTAAAACGACCACCCTGTACAGGGTGGATCAAATTCGACGCTTTTAAATGGAAACACCCTTTTCTATAGGAGATAGACGAAAACTAATATCGGTGTCTGAGCTCAATTTTCATCAAAAACATGATCGTGAAAACCGCACATCAATATCTGTTACCGTTTCGGAGTTACGGGGTGTTTTTCAAAAATGTGCATTTTTAACAAACCGCTGTAACTTTTTTGCTATGGAAAATTTTGTATTTCTATGAAAACATTTCCAAAGCATCTTTTTACGTAGAATTTAATGGTTTAAGTATAATTTTTTTTAAATTAATAATTTAAGAGTTATCAACAGAAAAATTGATTTTTTATTTGGGACAACCTCTATATTTTTCATTAACTGAAAAGAATTTAAAATTATCTTCCAAAAATATAGCACACTTGATATAATTGACACTTGATTATAATCCCCTTCGAAATACAGAATTATTGAAAGTTCGCCACTTTTAACTAGTAGGCTTTGGACCCCTTATTGATGGTATGCCCTTAATGGAACTCGAAAATATATTTTTTCAGCAAGACGACGCACCGCCCCTGAACTCAGAAGTTGTCAGCAAATTTTTGCAGCCAATTTCAAGAATAATTCAATAGCTAACCAAGATCCCAGCCGTTGCGTTGGCCGTCGAGGCCGCCTGACTTAGTGCTCATGGATCTAATCCTATGGATATATTTGCGTAAAAATAAAGGTTCCTTATTCTTCCGTATAATCGAGACAAGAATTAGAAATACTTAGTAGTTATGAGAGGGTATCCTTAGCAAAATCTCATGTCTTGGTTTGTTATTTATTTTTATTGTTATTAGATATAGTTTAAATGTGTTGATGTTGGTTAAATATATTTTAAATTTTTATAAAATTGTGCATCTCTCATAGCAAATATTATTTTCGTTTTAATTGATGCTCACAGCTAGACTTTTTTTGCATTACAGCCGGTGCCGTTCAAAGCCTACTTATTTAAAGCGGACGAATTTTTATAAACTCTATATCTCGAAGAGGAATCGAGCAAAATATCAAGTGTGTTATATTTTTGGAAAAGTAATTTTAAATTCTTTTCAATAAACTAAAAATATACAGGGTGTCCCATATAAAAATGAAATTTTCTGTTGATAATTCTTAAATTATTAATTTAAAAACAAATATACTTAAACCATTAAATTCTACGTAAAAAGGTGCTTTGGAAATGTTTTCATAAAAATACAAAATTTTCCATAGCAAAAAAAGTTACAGCGATTTGTTAAAAATGCATATTTTTGAAAAACACCCCGTAACTCCGAAACGGTAACAGATATTGGGTGTTTCCATTTAAAAGCGTCGAATTTGACCCACCCTGTACACATATATCTCGTTCGTTTTCATCTGAATAATAAAAAAGTGAAGTGAAAAACACCTCGTATCTTTTTTTGTATATTTATTAAATTTTAATAAAGAATACCCGTCTCTAACATATTCTTCAAAGTACATCTCAACATTAGTTCAACAAGGAGCAATTTCCTATTGGAATTTCAATAACTATCTTTTCATCTCCTATCGGAGTAATGCCGCCAGTTTCTACCTGGTTCGATATTTGGAATTGAATCTTAGGTACTTAAGCACATATAAGAGCTAGAAAGCAGCAATATAGCGATTCGAGTTCTGTTGGAGTATTAAACTCTGCGTTTAAGCACTTATATTTAATGTCAAGTTGGAGGAATGAAATTCTACTTCAGTCGGCTTTACGAAGCAACAAATACTGTTTTATATTTTAAAGTTCTAAGATATTTGACATTATTTATTGAAGTAGATTATATTTAGAAATTGTCAACAAAATAGTGTATTAATTGGCTATTTATATTGTAAAAAATATGTTTCTCTATAGTTATAATCAAAACATCACAAAAATATGTTTGCTTCAATATTTAATACATGAGATAAATGCAACCAGTATTTTTGTCATTTTCTGCATTTCTATTATTAGTTGATATATAAATAATTCAATTAAAATACATGAATGAAGAGCGGTTGAATACATCATAAAATTATATCTAAAATATTACAAACCACGATACAAGAATCTTCGGCGATTTAGTTTAAGTCCCCAATTTATTGTTTTTTTAGTTACAATATTTTCTTCTTTCCTTCCTACCATGCACGTGCCATTATACAGGGTTGTTCACCACATACGACTCGGAGTATTGTAGCTAAACGATTAGATTTTTACAAATTGTAAGTTTTGGGTTAGTTGTAATAGTCCTTATTAGAGCTACAATTTAAAAATATTTTCACCAGATACAGAGTGTCCCAAATAAATAAAAAATATCATAGTTGTATTTTTTAAATGGAACACCCTGTATATTATTACATTTTTACTTTCTACGATTAAAATAAAGGTAAATTTGATTAAGGTTCATTACACTTAAACCTTACCGTTTTTGAAATATTTTCAATTTTGTGAAATTGCAGCAAAAATTTTAAGGCTTCATTTCTCCAAAGGTTTCAAAGTTTTTAATACTAAATATTTACTGAAGTTTATTTATTGATCAGTTATTACGTTGCAATAATAAAAATAATACTAACTCATACAGAGTGTCTAAAAATTTATTTTAAATAATTTCCAGCTTTAAACGGCAATAACTTGTTTAATTTAAATAGAATGCCCTGTATATTTTAGGAGAATCAGATGCACAATTTAATTGTCTATCAAATTGTATTATACCATTTCTTACCTATCCCTTCAAGTTTTCGTAGAAAATGCATTTTCTTATAATTTAGACCTCATTTATCAATATACCCATGGAATATTGACATTTTAGATTATTTTTAAAGCAACATATGTACAAAACGTACAGGCTAGTAATATTATCGTTTTTAGCAAAACGATAATATTACCAGCCCATTTGTATGCAAGAGAAAAATATTTAAATCTTTATAGAAGAGTATACCATTAATTAAATATATCACCATTATTTCCGCCCAAATACTGATTAATTACATTCTTAATTGTGTTCGTTAATAAATTATTCTGAATAAATGTGAATTTGAATCAGAAATGATTATAATAATAAGTTATGAAAATGAACGTCTCTGTTGTTATGAATAAGCATTTGTGAAAAAATGAAATATCATTTTTAAGGTGTTACTTTTTATCATAGTGTCTAATACACATACAAAATTCAGTTTTTTAGTATTTGGAGCAATTATTATTAGTCAACGCAAACAGTCAATTAATGTAGTTTGAATACTGGAATTATATTAATTGGTCCTCTTTAACAAATATTTAAACAGTTTTTTTTTATATTTTTTAATGAAATAAACGAATTATATCGAAAATATTAGTATCTGTACTCTTTAAAAATTTGATACATCTTTAAAAATAAGCTAAAATGTCAGTATTCCATGGGTATATTGATAAATGAGTTCTAAATTACAACAAAATGCATTTTCTATGGAAACTTGAAGAGATAGGTAAAAATGGTGTAATACAGTTTGATAGACAATTTATGCATCTGATTCTCATGAAACATACAGGGTGTTCCATTTAAATTAAACAAGTTATTGCCGTTTAAAGCTAGTAATTATTTAAAATAAATTTTTAGACACTCTGTATAAGGTAATATAATTTTTATTATTGCAAGACAAAATTCAGTAAATATAAATACTTGAGTACAATATTTGGTTTTAAAAACTTAAATACGCTGAGAGAAATGAAGCATTAAAATTATTACTGTATTTTGACAAAAACCAAAATATTTCAAAAACGGTAAGGTTTAAGTGTGATAAACCTTAATCAAAATTACCTTTATTTTAATCGTAGAAACTAAAAATGTAATAATATACAGGGTGTTCCATTTAAAAAAATACAACTTTGATATTTTTATTTATTTGGGACACTCTGTATCTTAATATAAATATTAAAAATATTTTTAAATTGTAGCTCTAATAGTCCTTCAACGAACCTAAAACTTACAATTTGTAAAAATCTAATCGTTTAGCTACAATACTCCGTGTCGTATGTGGTAAACAACCCTGTATATTAACGAACCCTCGCAGAACACGTGTATCTGATACGGATCGATAAAAATTAATTAAAAATATATATCCCCGATTGAAAATCTGAACCAACATTTTTTCTTATTATTCTTCTTGAAAAAGAACGAAAAGAAGAAAAAAGTTGAGGAAAGAAAGATATTCAGAACACGCTATCCTTCTTTCT